TTATATTTATTTTTTTTAAATCAAAATTAATTTATTATTAATAGAGCAAACTCTTTCTTATCTTCAATGAAAGAGGTGGAGATTTTGAGCTTAACTATGAGTTAAAGTAGAATGAACAAAAAAATCGACTAAGCCAAAATATGATTCCTATGCTAGTTGAGCTTTTGGAGAAGAAATATAGCACTAATCCGGACTGAGTTGGCCAATATGTTGAGACAGTATCTCAAATTGTCTCGTAATACCTGGAGTATGCGTCAGGATCCAACTTGAAGCACACATTTCGATGAACAGATCCATAAAAACTACTGAAGAAACGATGTATGAGTTATATATATATATATTATAAATTATGACTTAAAATCGACTTAAATTTAGTTAGGTCAATTTAAGTTATAAAAAATTGACCAACTAAATTTAGGTCAATTTTAAGTCATAATTTATTAAATTTTAGTTTTCAATATTTTGATTTAATTTTACAAGAAATGTCTCAGTGAGCTTTGGTGTTCAAGTATCTTTATTTAAAGAAGAACAATTGACTTTCTAGCTATAATATAGATAAATTAACCAAAGTTTTAACCAATAATGATATCTATTCATCTAAGATGTCAGACTTTGGTAAAAAAACAGACAAAAGAGGTTATCTGTATATTAACATCCATAGCTTGGCTTGGAGGTCAAAAAGATATAAAATTTTTTTTCTGTTATATTAGCAAAAATTCGACTACTATTCGACTAATGTTCAGTATATCAAATAATATACATAGTATATCATTTGATATACCAAACATCAGTCAAATGGCGATAACAAGAATACTAATTTAATTAATTTGTTATTTGCATGTTGATTTTTTCTTTTTATTTTAATAGTTAACCGATTTGTTGCATAGTGTTCTTAATACAGCTGTGCAATTTAATTCCAATATCCCTGTTGAAGCTCATATACATTAATAGCTCCTCAATCTGATAATCTGCCTGATTGAGCAGTAAGAGATGAATATAGTGATAATGATGATGACGATAGGGAAAAAGAGGAGGAAGAGGATGAAGAAGATGAAGAAGATGAGTTAGAAGCAAATGAGAATGAGGGTTTTGATAATAATAGTGAATAAAGAAGTAATGATGACTAAGGAAGAAGTACCAGAAGTCGTAATAAAAGATCAGCTTCTGATGCTATAGAGAAACCTTCAAGAAAACAAAGGGTTTAATTTTTTTTTTTTGTTTTTTTTTTTTAAATTTTATTTGCTTTTTTTTTTTTGTTTTTTTCTTACTTTTAGTTTTTTCTTTTTTTTTAAATTTGTATCTAATTTGGTTTAATAAATTTATAATATATTAAAATCATTCAGAATTCGATTTGTACGAATGTTATTAGTAATCGATTATCAATTATTAACCGACAATTGATTGAAATAGCCAATTCGACTTGAATTCAACTACCAAATTTATACCAAATATTATTAGTAAGCAGTTGTCAATTAGTATTTGGTAGTTAATTATTAGTTGATTTATTGTAATTAATTGACTACCAAATGAAATAGCTGAATTGACCTAAATTCGGCTATTAAATTTATACTGATTTTATTCTAAATTTTATAAGTATTCAGTAGTCAATTATAAGTCGATTTATTGTAATTAATTGACTACTGAATAAAATAGCCAAATCGATCTAAATTTGATCATCAAATTTATACCAATTTTATTTCAATTTTTTAAATATTTGGTCATCAATTACAGATCGATTTTATTATATCAATCAGTTGTGATTGAAATTTTTGACATGAATTTGGATGCCAATTTTTTATTAGTATTCGACTGTCTATTAGCTACTAATTTACTCTATCATTCAGTATAATATCAGCCAAATATTTAATGATCGAATTCAAACCAATTTGGCTATTTCATTCAGTAGTCAAATTTCTTATATTCAACTAGTGATAGTTAGTATAAGAAACTATTTTAAAGTTTCATCAGCTTTTGAAAAAAATTAATTACTTAACATTGGTAATCTGATTGTTGAAAGTATATTGTATTGAATTTCAAACATAATTAAATATTTTTCTTGACTAACATGATCATTGAGACTATTTAATAAACTATACAAAGAAGTTGTATAATCAATTTTTTGGTAAATATGTATATTAATAGACTCAATTTTTTAAGTGCTTTGTGCATCCGCTATAAATATTTTGCTAATCCAGAGAGTTGCTTATAATTCTTTGTTGCTATAAAGAGTCTTTGTTAAGTAATTTGTAGCTGTAGGATAATCATTTATTAATTTTGCCTATTGGTACTTAAAGAGATCTTTATATAAGCTATTACAGCAAATATAAAAATCTAATCGAAATGTATCAAACTAGGAACCTAATTTTTGTTTTAAATTTTTTTAAAATTTAAATCTATATAAAATATATACAGAAGATGATTGGTAGTAGGATAAACATTGTTGATTGCATTTATCATAGCAGGATCGCTATCAATAAAGATTGTTATTGGAATAACATCAGTTTCTTCAAATAATTTCTCAAGAACCCATTGGAATGTATCTAACATTTCATCCTTAATTATACCACAAGCTACAATTCGTGTCTTAAAATGATTATCAATAAAGTAATAATGAGAAGCATTAGTTGAAAATGATTGGTATTCGCAGTAGTATCTATTATTACTATATCATAGAAAGTTTCATATAAAGTTCTTTGGGATGGTGACATCCAAAATAATAAAGCTATTCTTCTAGATACAGGTTCCAAGTGTAGTTTTACAATCTATAATAGGTTTTCTTCTTTTCAGTTCATTAATGTTTGAAGCATTAATGAAGCATCAGAATCTCCTAGATTATTTTTTTGTCTAAAGGCATATACAGCATTATATAAATCATATTTGCACAAAGGATGTTCGGAATAATCATATTTAAGTAAGAGATAAATTGAACTTGAATCTATTCTTCCTTTAACTACATATTTTTTAATATCAGCTAGCATTTCAGGTGTCAACTTGTGAAACTGAGAGGAAATCTCTTTAATTATAGAAGTAAGCAGATAATTATGTTTATTATTGAGAAAATTTGTTCTTACTTCAGATGCTGACTTAGAAAATATAACATTTAATTTTTATTTACATCCTGTTCTTTGAAATATCTTATTACGTCTTTTAGTTGAATCGACTATTGTTTAGAAATTATATATATACTAGCTTTTATATATACATAATTAACCTGCCTAATTATTTCTTTTTCTTTTTCACTAGTTCTAACCTTGTAATCAAAACCTTCTTATAGCACAAATTGATCTAACCAAGATTTAAATAACTGCTAGTTTGAAAATGAAAGTCCTAGCTTTAATTCTAAATGTTAGTTGTTTAACTCATCTTCCTAAAACTCTATATCAGACATCTTACATAAATCAACTACTTCATTATATACTTCCTTATTATTACTTTCCAGAGACAAGACATCTAAAAAAGAATTATGTAGTTTTTGAATATAATAATTATTAATGTCGTTATTATGAAAAAACTGGGTATGAGAAGCATCATAAGCATCTTGATTAAGATCTTAAATATATAGAGAATGGACATTGTCAAGGACTTCAGAATATTAAATACTCTGAAACTGGTCACATGGTTCCTGAATGTTATGATGATCGCAAAGGTCTTGAAAAAGTTGAATACAGGAATGATCATAAGTATCCTTCAGATTATTAAAATCTTGATTGCCTTTATTGTATTCAAAGTTTTTAAGTTCTTGAAAGTCTTGGAGGTCGCTAAGATCTTGAAAATACTGGAGGTTTTGAAGATCATAAGTATAATATAAAAATGGTTTACAGAAATTATTAGCCTTTTGATTATCCCAATTAATAAGTCACTCATTTTAAATTAAAAAAATTAAAATACAAAGACATTAAAGACACAATGGCATGAAAAAAAAATAAAAATAGAGCAAGTTTATTACTAATAAATTACACTAAATATATCATAATTATAATCATCAAAACTTACTTATCATAACACATAATCTAGGTTTTAAACACTAATTTTTTTTATATACACAGGACCCGGGTTTTGAATATTAGATTACAATTTTTATATATATATATATAATTCAGGTGCCAAACACCCTATATATAGCTAGTTATTTTCTATTATTATTATTATTATTATTTATTATTTTTTTTTACATATTAGCAGCCTTACCAGTATCTTTATTAGATCAAAGCTAATATACAGATATATTATAAACTATCTAAATTATAGATCTAACATCACTCAGCTTCCTCTATAGGCACCCAAATGCAGTCTGCCTTACCGATTAAGGCTATTGCCTATACCAAAGGGCTGCACTAAGCTAGCTGATAAAACTATAGCAATATGGTTTTGATTTAAAGAGATTTTTAACTAAACTAAATTAGCAAATTTCTTTTCTAACCTATTTTCCTTTTTATTACAAACTAAAACTAATTTTCTATTAATAAACAATTCTATCTTTTTTTTTAATAAGGAGTTATTGCCAAAACTCTTTCTGTTGATCACTTGGTTAACAACAATTTACCAAACTACAGTTAGCAATATAGAAAAGCAACATAGTAAACACAACTATATTTCTGGTTTTGTATTAAGCAAACTTGTTATCAACAAAGCCTACAATATGTTGCTACAGTACTGTAGCCTTCTTAACAGCAGTACTATAACAATGACATGGCTATAGGAATCCTTCACAGGTTTATAGCAGTGTCTAACAGGTAAGTATAATTTCTGCTTTCTTGGAGAAACTATACCCTTCTGTCTATGGCAGTTCGGCAGACAATAGTTTATAGATAAAATATATATTTATTAAAGATAAATAAGATAGGCTATTCTTAGTTTTCTATTCCTAAAGAATTCTATAATATTATAAGAGAAAATTTAGGGAAGAAGGAAGTGAGGTAGACAATAACAAGTCTGTTGTTATTTTAGGTCTAATATTAACTTGGAAAAATTCACAGCTTTTTTATATCTTTAGAGCTAATCACTAATCGTTGCAGCTAAGCATAGTTCACTTAGTGCTAAGCGCTAATTGTAATCGTTAATCGTTAATCGCTAATCGTTAATCGCTAATCGCTAATCACTAAGCATAATCACTAATCATTAATCGCTAAGTGTAATCGCTAATCACTAAGCGTAATCGCTAACCAAGATTTAAATA